TCCATCCAACTTAACCTCTTACATGACATAAAAACATAAACTACTATCCAATTAGTAAGTATTCATTGTTGTAGAGACTACTGTGATTTCAGGAATCGACATACTAAAACAATATATATGAAACACTAACAATTTGCAATTATATATTTGTAGTGCTTTCCGTGTTTTATATTCATCTATTTTTGGATAATAGTATCAAAAGTGATGCATGAGTTACGTCAGCAATCTCATTCACCTAACTAAAACAGATATACAGTCTTTCATGCCTAAGAGTTAAATGAGATTTCGTTTATTTATCTATATAAGTATGGTTTTGTAAACAACCAATGTGCATGTATACTAAAAAAGTAGTAAACTTACTTTTTTTATTACTTTCGACACTTTCGATAAACTGAACAGTTCGATTATGTTTATTGTGTGATCTGAAAAAGAGTATTAACTAATAGATTCTACAAAGTAATGAAGACCATACTTCAATGAAAATAAAATATAATGCGCATAATAAGTAATTTAGGTTATTATTAGCTTCTTTTTAAAAGCGTCAAAGAGTTTGTCTCCTAAGCAATATGAAAAGTGAAAAATAAGAATAAAAATGGTTTTTTTTTCTACTGCAATTGTGACCCTTCGACATAATTGATTATTTTGATGAATAACATATATGCATTTGAAATGAATAGCAACCTGTTGCAATCACATCAACAGTCGTAAACTAGCAAAAAGAATTGGTAAAGAAGTCAAGAATGATAGATCCTCAGACAATAAAGACCAATCAACTGGTGAAGTAAAGGAACTTCAATTGATGGAACGCATTATCATAGATCTATAGGCTTTGTCAAACATTATATGTCCATTTAATAAAATCTGTGTTTCTTTATGCCAAAACACAATACTTTACAATCGAGTTCAAAGGTCAGCAGGTTTAAATGTTAAAGTGTCATTACGAAATGTTTGCGTTTGAAAATCAATGTTTGCTAACAAATTTTAATCGTGCATTTCAATATCATCAAAATTTTCATCCAATAGAATTTTAGATAAGAAAATGCCTGTACCAAGTCAGGAATATGACAGTTGTTTTTCATTCGTTTAATGTGTTTGAGCTTTTGATTTTGCCATTTGATTAGGGACTTCCCATTTTGAATTTTCCTCGGAGTTCAGTATTTTTGTGATTTTTACTAAATCTAGAAGGCTAAACCTAACATCAATATTGACACTGACCTCAGGTAAAAAACCGACTTATACATTATAAAGAGCGTGAATCTGACAACAATTGATTGATTGTCGGTTGCATAACGTCAAGTGGCAAATATTTCATAAATGTTCAGGACGGGAACAGATTAACAATGAATACAACAGGTAGGTTATATAATATGGGAAGGTCTGGAGACTTGTGATGCCACTGGAATTGAGTTATATAGGATAGCGATAGCAATTTTGCCTTGCAACAGATCACATGCGAACCCCTAACCGAGTTGTTGCAAAGGTTGTCTTAACGTGCAGAGAGTGTGGCACTGTCACTACATGAGGCATTATATTTAACGTTCCCATTCTGACCGCAAGTGTCTGCGCATTTATACATCACGAACAGCAAAAACGGACACCCGACTTCAGCAAGGGTTTACTGCCGGTCTTAAGAAGACCAAGAGTGACCATAAGAGGGTATCAGCTGTCCAAATTTCAGCATTTGTGTGCTGGCATGAACTGTTCAATTTGATCATTGTCTGTAAATGAACTTTTCATTGAATGTTTAAATTACTAGTATTCGAACAACTTGGGTTAACTAACTAAGACATTTTTTTTGGTAATCATTTTCTTTAATTGGTTTTGTCCTCCACCTATTAATTTACAGTGCAGTTTTGAAAAGAAATACCTGGTAGATAACTGGTTGTCAAAATACTCAAACATTCATTGAATACTACCAAGGTTTATAACATGTCAATGTTTTTCATTATATTTCATTCTAAAAGACGTGATGTGTTATATGCAAGAAAACAGGTACATGAAAGATCAAAAGTCCAGAAAGAGAAAACTAATGCCAACAGAAATTGGGTTTTAATGAACAGTTATTATGAAAATTTAATTATTTTGATATACTTTTGATCTCAAAGAGATTCATACGCATCAACCAGCATTCGGTATCGCGGTAGATTCCTTATCAATGCAACAACATGTTCAAAATGGATAGAAAAAAATAAAACGATTGCATTAAAATTGGGAAATTTAAACACGATATCATTTGTAAAGATATGTTATTTTTAGGAACAATACGTCCCGTGTTTTGAGAATTAAAAAAAAACATTTGCTTTTTATTTATCTTTAGAACTGACTTACAGTGATCACGGTATCGATTTAGCGTTGATTGAAATACGTTTTCCTGTTTGTTTAAGCATCCGAATAGCGAAGCTGTAACATGTGTAAATAGTGATTTGAAATCTTGTTCAAAAAATTTCCCCAACCTTTTTGTTCTTTCACTTTTTCGGAAAGTTATAGGTTCACCTTTACAGTATACATATGATATACATTTACATATAATGGATACCTTGAAAAACATGTTAGTGTGCATTCTAGTCTCATACTAATGGACTTTTTATTATTGAACACATAGAGATGTTTCATTTTACCATAACTATTCTGTTTTAATTTTAGTAGCCGCCTTTTTTCGAATGAAGAGCACTATGAGACCTGTGTTCTTGCCCATATTCATCACTTTCTCTTTTAAATTGAAAATACTGCAATCTTGTATAGATGACATTCTACTAAGAGATGTATCTCGGGGTAGGGAGAAATCCTTAAAGATCACACTGCATGTAGACCTGCCAAAATTTGAATACTAAAGGACACAATTAAAAACAGTACAATAGTAAAAATAACTTACTCCACGACACCCTTGATGAAGGAATGAAGAGGGGACGACGGGCGGGAACAGCAATGCAATTCATGATGATATAGATAAGAGGCAATCCTGCTTTTGTCTGAAAATTTTCAGCACAAAGTCAAATAACAACAGACATTATAGAATTCGTTCTAAGATATGACCTTAGAAGCACCTTTTAAGCCAATAAAGGATTTTAGAGTAAACATTGCATAATGTCCTACATTTTTATTTATCCCATACTTATCTTGACATTATTGTTGTTTATAATGCCTATAGATTAAGATACTATCCTTGTTAACTCATTGATCATTGTATACACGTATTCTTTTATAGTTTGTTTCTAAAAAAAAACAGGCTTTTGCTTTCTTGATGGATTTTGTATAGTCGGGGCCTTTTATAGCCGAATTTACAAAAGATGATTTGCTCATTGTAAAAGGCCGTACGATGATTAATACTTGATCATAGTTGCTCAAATGCACGTCATTTTCACTCTGTTTGATGGAAGTCTCATTGGCAATTATATTAAAATTTCTGTACTTGTGTTAATGTATGGTAGCCTAACAAATAAATGATTAAGTAAATGTCACTGAAAAAAAAACTTCCTAATAATAAGCACTATATAGAAAACTAGTTTACATAAATACAACCGCTAGATCCCAGTATTTTTGCAGTAAAGATTGCTTTTTATAGGATGGAAACATACTTTCAGATAAGCGTCAAAGTGACAATCTGTCGTCAATAATTGACATGTATGATCAATAAAGTAATTTGACATGTTGGATTGAGTATACTAATTTTAGTTAATGTCAGCAACAGCCTCACCAATAAAGTTTTTTTTTACGAAATATGTGTTGGTGGGATGTGCTATAAATGTATTAGAATACAAATTGCATATCAGTGAAAAGGTTTAAAATTTTGCTTTACAATAGTTTAAAGACTTGAATGAAATGTTTAGGCATATCAAAAAAGTGTACTGATATCCAAAACTTATATATCATATCATTATCAGGTGGATATATATTATTTTCTTAATCAAATTCAAACGGGCATAAAAATGTTTTAAAAAGTAAAATCACCAAAAAATACTGAGCTCCGAGGAAAATTCAAAAAGGAAAGTCCTTAATCAAATGGCAAAATCAAAAGCTCAAACACATCAAATCACACTTTCCCATTTTCTTTACAATAAACATATAAAAGCATGGGCTGTGAGCTTCATATTTCCACTCCATTTGACTAGAAAATCATCAATGATACCAGACATTTGTCAGATGACATTTCGTCAACACAAAACTTACTAGTAGCGCTCAATCTACAATAGTTTGAAGGCATGATCGGTCCAGAACCTGAAGAGCACATACAATCAAATATTTACAAATGTTGTTCCAGATATGGCCATTGCAATCTTGCAATCTATTCAAGGCGTAATTTAGACTAAGCCTTTCGGTGAGTTAACTTAACTAGTGTATTTACATATACAATGTCAAGGTCGTTTGGTCGTATTTAACAAAAAAAACATGTATACATACAAAAGACAAATTGAATCAACGTTCTTGGCAGATAATAACGTTTTGGTTGAAATGAAGACTTATTTTAAGGTTATAATTTAATTATTGTGCTGGCCATCATCATGATTATGTTCATTTTGAAATTTGAACTCGACAAAATTATTTATAGATGTCTCTATACTAATTCAATAGTTTTTTAGTGTACTAATCTGGTCCGAAAATATTTTTCAATCTTTTGGGTCCAGAATAATTTATTGATAAAGCTTGCCAGGTCCTTTCTTTTAACGTTCTGACCAGATTATATCACCATACTGGTGTTAAGTCAAATCATGACTTACACTAGTAGCGCTTGGATCAAATAATGGGGTTAACATAATGGGTCGAGAAGCTGGAGAGCACTGCAAAGCAAAAATACTCAAATGTTCTACCAAATATGGTTTAGTCAATTATTCCCTTAAGTAAGAATGAAACAAAACTAAAAGATGGTCCCCAGAAAAGTCATTTGAACTTTCTGTTCAAGGCACATTTAATATAAAAAATAAAAATGTGCAAATAACGTTGATCAAAATCTCATAAAAAATGTTCATGGTTGAACGAATAATAATTTCCTGTATAATTCCTACTTACATATGTGAATATATTTCCTGACATGTTACATTTGCTTTTGTGTCTTCTTCATTGATACATTGATAATCTGCGGATGAAGTTAATATATTTACCTAGTCCTGTTATTTGATTTATCTAATGAGACGATTGCAATTATTATCATGTAAATAAAAACAAAAATTGCACAAGTGATTAAAACATGATTATTTTATGATTTGAACTCAATTGCCTCTTTTGTTTGTTAACTATAAGCTTCAGATTTAACGGGTGACAGCAACTTAAAAAGTATGTATCATTATTGCAGAAACAATCAGCAATCGAGTAACTGGTAATAAATGTATCTTAACTGATGATTCAGAAGAAATACAAGGAAACAATTCATAGCGAAACTTTTTTTGTCTTCCAATATATGTATTTGTACTTTCCATTGGTACCAAATACTTACCTGGAGATAATATGTTGCAGTTATCTCTGAAACAAGAACAATCTTCCTCAGATGGGTTACAGAAACAACTGTTCTTTGGTTTTGCAACAAACGCATATCCCTGTGTGTAGTCACAGCGACAAGCAGTATCAATGCTATAAGACCCATTGCTGTATACAACTTGTCCCTCCTCATCACACTTTGATTTTCTAAGGATACATTCACTGTTTCCATGGGTGGTAAATACAACAGGTTGATATCTTCCGGCATTACATTCTGCTAGATTAAACAATGGTTGGAACACTAGCTTACTTCCTTAAAGTAGAAAACCTACTTTATTTATTATGGATTATGTACTGTCGAAGACTTCTGTGGAATTTTCAATTCACTGTTACAGTTTTGATTATTAAGTTTGATTTTGTAATCGAATGATACAAATAAAAAGAACATCAGTTGACCGTTGTTCAAACCAAGCTCATGTTAAAGGAAAAAACATGAAATGCTGATGCTTTAATTCATGCTTTTAGTAACACCATATTATATATCACATTCAACACAACTATCTATGTCACAATATTGTTATTGTCTGTTATTGTATTGTTATGCTTATTTTTTGTGGCAAACAAAACCACAACATTTGATAGGATAACTAGAGTATTGATTTGGTCAAGATTTGTTTCCCAAGTTTCAGATTCGAAATCATTTGGAAATACCTTGTTACATTTTTTTATATTTGTCTATTTAAATAACAAAGCAAACTTATAAGTCGAAAAGGCACATATTAAATGGAGACAGAATAACAATTATAACAAAATGTTATGGCGACAATTTGTTGTCCGGTAGACAAGTTCCAATTATAGGGCCAATTTGATACACACGTTAAGAAATCAGAGAATATGGTGAAACCAAAGTAATTGTCCGTTACTTATACATGTTATATAAGTATGATAACGTTGCTATCTTAACAATTATACCTAATTCGTATTTGAAACCTACAGACATTCTTGGCAACGAATGAATAGGTTTTATAGGAAATATACTAACAAACCCTATTTATATATAAATATGATACGTGTAATGTTAATATCTGTAAAACTGAACGTTTGCGATCAGCAAACACAATGAAAAGCATTCAAAAACGGAATCATATATTACGGATTTCAAATAGTCTATAGGCTATTACAACAACTGTATTTATCGTTGTTGCCACTCAATTTAAAAGTATTAGGAGCAATACAGAAAATAACTGAGCTATATTAACTAAATCGAAAATTTAAAGAAACGTTTTTCAACTAATTTTACCTATACTACTTTGATCTGAACCTAAACAACTCTCCTTGTATTTTCCTTCCAGTAAATGGAACAAACAAACGTATTTGGATTCCGAATAACACGAAACGTTTGCTCTCAATCTCCATTCTGCCTTGGCTGGACATTTAAGGTCATATCCAGTTACTATTCCAATTATCTAAAAAATATATCAATTAACGATTTACTTCACTTCAAGCCATGTGAGCAAAAAGGTTTTTCTATGTGTCTTTTTTCACAATTATTTGAATCATAATCTATAACGGAGCAGTTACATTATAGGAAAAACCGTATGATCTTAAAGGAAGAAAGAAAAGAAGTTAGCAATATCCTTTAACTTTACATTCCGCTACATGTATATAGATGATGTTCTCTCACTAAATAATTAAAAATTTGGTGACTATGTTGAAAGCATCTATCCCTTCGAACTAGAGATAAAGGATACAACAGATAGAGTTAAGTCTGCCTCATATCTTCACTTACATCTGGAAATTGACAATGAGGGGCGGTTGAAAACAAAACTTTACGACAAAAGAGATGATTGCAGCTTCCCAATTATGAACTTTTCATTTCTATGTAGCAACTTTCAAGCATCGCCGGCATACGGAATATATCTCCCAATTGATACAAAATTCCCAGGCTTATATTTCCTATCATGATTTCCTTGATGGAGGGTTGCTGCTCACAAGGAAGCTATTAAACCAAGAGTTCCAAATGGTGAAGTTGAAATCATCCCTTCGTAAATTTTATGGAAGCCATCACGAGTTGGTTGACCGTTATGGAATATCCGTTTTACAGATGATATGGGATATGTTCCTTACGTCGTAACTACAATCCCGTTCCCTTTTCACGAATGTAACCTACCGAATTAGACTATTTACCGGGTTTGTAATAACTTGAGCAACACAACAGGTGCCACATGTGAAGCAGGATCTGCTTACCCTTCCGGAGCACCCGAGATCACCCCCAGTTTTTGGTGGGGTTCGTGTTGCTTAGTCTTTAGTTTTCTATGTTGTGTCTTGTGTACTTTTATTTGTCTGTTTGTCTTTTTCTTTTTTAGCCATGGCGTTGTCAGTTTGTTTATTTTCGATTAATGAGTTTGAATGTCCCTCTGGTATCTTTTTCCCCTCTTATAAACGATGTGAAATGCTGAAAATTAGAACAACAAGCCTGGTAAACTATTTGTGTTTTGTTAAAGCTACTTTTTGTATGATTTAGCACTAATTAAATATTTTAATGCAGTATATTTAGATGCTAGTTGTGTTATTCAATGTTTAATTTAAGGTCTGTTCGTAGAGGTATATAATGTATACTGAATTCACTGTAAGCTGTACTTATCTGGCATTTATTTATCTAGGATGGAATGTTTCCACAAAAGGGTATTAGTTTACCTATATAATTCCTAAATAATATATATATAGACTATTATATTCACACTGTCAGAATTGACGCATGCTGTGTTTGAATATTGGGTTGTACAAAATGCATGTGTTATAGCATAACCTTCGAACACTCAAATGAATTGTGTAAGTTAAAGTATGCAATGTACTTGTAACAAGTACCTGAATATTGTATTCTGACTAGACTACTGCTGACTATGACTAAATCTTCAATTTCCGACTAGAGAATCAGGTATATTTTATTAAGTAATATTACTATTGAAGACAAAGATTAAAGCGGATAATATGAGTTCATATATATATTTGAATTTTCATAAAATCAATACATTGCAACGTCAAAAAGTTAAATTGTTGATATCTTTAGTAGAATAATTTTTATCAAACATTTACCAAGATCAGCAGAATAACCATTTTGCCTCATCATATGTCAATGTACCAGTATTTTACTGTTGTCTGTCAAATCTGAACATCTGTATGGAATAAAAACTGAGTTATTATACATTATATAAATCCTTTAACAAATACGACTGTCATACAAATGAGACTGTAATCCACCATTCTTTACATACGAGAATGTCTGTACCAAGTCAGGAATATGACAGCTGTTATCCATTCGTTTGATGTGTTTGAACTTTTGATTTTGCCATTTGACTACGGACTTTCCGTTTAGCATTTTCATCGGAGTTCGGTATTTTTGTAATTTTACTTTTTAAATAAAACTTAAATATGTTGTATCGCAAATCTGTGTTCTGTCACAGTTCAGAACAAACTCATTACAGAATATTTTTCAGTAAAGCACTGTAGAAAATGCAGATTGACAGTCGGTTTTTTTTCTATGAAAGTCTGCTTAAACATTTTTTGGCCAACTTAAATTTCAAAAAAGCATGCTAAATCTGAATTGACACTTCTATATTGACGTGTTATATTATTCTCATACTCATAACACACCTGTTTACAAACATATTTCTATCTGTATCTGGGAACACCTTTCAGAATAACTCCAAATAATCTTCAATTTTGTACTGTTTTTTGCCCTTAAAATTTTTTAATTGAAACGTCACGGATGATGATGTCATAAACAAATCGTGCGACTGGCGTACAACAGTATAGCAAACTATCCTAAATGAGTTTTTCAAATATATGTTTGAATTTCTCTCATCATATCCCGCACCATAAAACTGATTTTTTTAAAGGATACAATAATCCTGGTTTTGTTTTGTTTTTTCCGAAAAGCAGACTTTTAAAAACTGACAAACTAAGATTAATGTTTTCTTTTTTAGTATAGATAATTTAGAGAAGAAGGTTAGATAAATCGCAATTTTCAACAGTGGTAAGTACATTTGTAATGTTCAATGGTAAAAGATTTCTGCTATATATGTTTTAAAACAGTTGAAATTACTAATTTCTATAAAAGTGTACTTTTGTATTTCTCTATAATTATACCATTTTATTTTAATTAAATTGTGTTGATGTTTGATTTTGATATCATGTCGAATGTTGCACTTTATATTCAATGGGCTAAAACACCGGCACCAATAACAAAACAACCTCAAAAATGAAAACCTAAAAATAAAACCAAACTTGCCATTATGAATCTAAGATATAAATGAATGACGTTCATTGTCAATGAGACAGCCGCACAATTTGATTTTAGAATATAAATTGTAAGTAATTGTATATCAGCAGTTGTAGTCAAGTGGTATCATGCACGCACCAAAGAATATTGTGATTATTGAATAAAATTCCCGCAAGGACGAAACCCGAATATGTTGTACGTTTTTAAGAGACAAAAAGTGTATGGGCTTATTTAGAATATAAGTTAATGTTGGTTGACAATGGATTCTTGAAAAATAATATGCAGTTAGAACAATAGATATACTCTGCCATCACCTATAAATTACTCACTCGAAAAATTTGATTCTACAAAATATTTAGGCCTATCTCTTTAATCAAACTTAAAATGGAATAAACATATCGATTACAGAACACCAAAAGCAAATTTGACGTTTTTTGCAGAAACCTTATAAAAACCTTACCTAAAGTTAAAGCTCATGCATTCAAAGCTCTAGTCCAACCAAAGTTACAATACCTCTAAACCATTTGGGATCCACATCAGAAAAATAAAAAAGGACAGGGAAGGGCAGCCCGCTTCACATGCAGTCGCTTCTACAGCACCAGTACAGTTACTGATACGATAACAGATTTAAATTGGTACCCACTTGAAATTAGACGATTGAGATAACACTTGTTTCTTGTACACAATTATGCATGAAATTATCGCAGTCCTTACATTGAACCTTTTGATTCCATTAGAAATAATAACAACACATTGCAATCCACAATCATTAAGGCAAATACAAACAACTTAAGACAACTATAATCATTCATTTTACCCGCGTAAAGCTGTACATTTGAATCGATTGCCACAACAACTTGTTTCATTCAGTACAGTAGAGGGTTCGATACAAACATCTGCTCGTATCCCTTTTTTCTGCCCTTAACCTTAATGATTATGATATAGTTTTATCTAAATGTAATTTATCAATTGTACATAGATATTTTTTATTTTAATTTTTTTTATCTTGCTTATCACAAATCAAATTTTATAATCGAAGCCCGGCGAATAATCTTCAATTACTTATGAAAGTTTGCTATGAACTGAAAGAAGAAGATATAATATCCCTTTACCTATCTTAATAAGTCTATTAGATGTACTTAAAGAATCGGTTGGTCTTTTATCCATAAGGTGTAGTTTCATTTTCAAATTGACTTCTTGGTGTGTCCTTTTTTATCGTGTGGCTGATAACAAATTTATATAAGAAGATGCATACCCTAACGAAACCTAATATTATTCTGTTTAATGTTTATATTATCGCTAGGGATTTCACTCAACTGTTTGTCTGTTTGATTAATTTATAGATTAAACAATAACATTATGTTTGGTTTTTTTTTTATTGTTAATGTTATCAATACCTCAAACTTTTTTTCAATGTACATTTTCGTATATTCATTCATGTTTACACGTAATATGATTCCAATCTATTTAGTCACCATTCTTGGCATATATGAATATAGTATGGATAGTATCTATAAGTTTCACTTAATTATTGTCAGATTTTTGTCAACTGATTCGACGAAGTTTACTTTGTAATTTGCAGTCGGGCCGCCTGTTTGAATTCTTTTATTTGTCTTTGTTAATTATTACTTTTACTATTTAGTCTTTTTTGGCAATATCCATTTGATGTGGCTCGTTACTTATACATCCATTCATTTTGTTATTGTGCTATGGTAAATTTTTATATTCTTGTCTTTCGTTATTGCTAATGTGCTTTGTCTATTTGCCTTTTTGTTTATCTTTGTTTACATATTTGCTTGTTTTTATAGTGATTAAGATTAGAACACAATGTTGACTGCTGTTCCCCTATTTTTGACATTTTTAACTATTATGTCTGTTTGTTTTGTTCACACATCGTTTTCAATATAATGAAATTTTGTGCGACTGTCATACAAGTGTGAGGTTTAGCTAGCTATAAACCAAGTTTAATCCACCATTTTCTACATAAGAAAATGCATGTACCAAGTCAGGAATATGACAGTTGTTGCCCATTCGTTTGATGTGTATGAGCTTTTGATTTTGCCATTTGCATAGGGACTTTCCATTTAGAATTTTCCTAGGAGTTCGCTATTTTTGTTATTTTACTTTTTGAAGACTTATGTGATATGGATGGTTGCCTTTACAATCATAATTACTCATATTAATTGCCTTTTAGAGTCATTAAATAGCATGCACATAATAAACAGAACAAAGTGTAAGATATAGGACATTAACAAGTTCAATATTCATAACATGTATATGAAGATCATTTGATGCATCAAACACTGTTCTCAAAGATAGATTTTTTTTTAGCTTTTATAAGGTCCAAGTTATCATATTTACATAAAAAACTCATTTTCTGAAAAGAGGAATATTTTCAGAAGTTTTGAGTTATTTCTATAAATTCTTTTTATCAAGGTTGATCTTATATAATTTTCAATGTTATTAACCCTTTCCCTTTCAGGCATTTTAGACTATTACTTATCGAAAAGACACTATCAAAGTTCAATTGAATACTGCATTCGAACCAATGGTCATGCACATGCCATGTTGGGCTCATATGAAAGATAATTGGTCAAATATTTCAGAAAATTACGTTTTAAGATAATTCGTCCTTTTTGGGTCACGTGGGATGTTTCGAAAAGTCACGTGACTTTTGGAGAAAATGTGGAAAAATACGAAATCCTTGGGACAAAAGTCGTGTAGAGACATATTGTTGCGCTAATAGGGTAAGGTTTTGGTGGAAACACAATGCCCCAAGTCTGTTAAAGACATACAAGTTATCATATTGGTATTAAAAGGGGAAATACGTGTTATATGCCTTGAAATCTCGATGTCCGTTACATTCAAAATAACTGATTCCAGACGCTCTTTTCGTCCAATTACAAACTCGGACACTCGTTTTTTGTCTAAATCGTTTTCAGTCAAGCAGTAACCTAAATTTTGTTTTTCTAAGGGAAAATTTGTATTGAATTACTAATGATAACTTGATGTGGCGCACCCTGGACCAAACCCGATGAAGTAAATGGGGGAAAAAAAGGGGGGGGGGCAATTTGGCACACAAATTCTTTAAAAAACAAACATAAGTATTTCGTTGGTTTTTCTTTTTGAAATTGAAAGTAAAGTTAAGTTAAGTTACATTTAATATAGGAAATAATTTTTCCACCTCCGGCAGTGAGAATCGAACACGCGATCTTTCCGCCTTTGGTTTGTTCAGCATACCCCTGCACCACTGGCACTGTTAGGAATATATTGAAATTTAAGTACTTAAGTCTACTACTCAAGACGTGAAAAAAAAAACATATGAAGATCCTCACCCAGCTTGTTTTCTTTTCGAAATTATGTGTTCAGATGATATATTTTTTATGCCAAATGGCCAAATGCATGATTTTTGCGCAAATATAGCAGGAATCCAGTTCTTAGTCTGTCTTGTTTCCATTGACATATACATTTTCCTTCATTTAAACAAAAGTGTTTTCAACTTTATCATACCCAAACACCTACGAAACCATGTTTTGTTACATCTATTTCAACTTTGCTAAAAAAAATTCAGGACATTTCAGTGGTTTTTGTCTCTTTTACGATAAAATCTTTAAGAAATGACTACGGATTTTTAGCGCATTTCAAGTTTGTGATTGCGCTGGTACACTAAAAATTACATTTTTAACTAGTGTACAAGTTAGAACTATTACTTTAATACCATTCTTCAAAAACTCACTGCACAGTTATTGAAAAAAGTCATAATTCCCCCAAAAAGGACAGTTTTCTATGCACTTCTTTTTGAAAATATTCTTTAAAATCCGAAGAAACAAAAATGTTTTTTACAGAAGAAACACATGTCAGTAAGAGGCGAATTAACTATAAACTGATAATGAT